ACTCCCCGAGGCTGGGGGACTGTGCTGTAAGGGCCGGTGGACTGGGATTGCCCTGGGCACTCAAGGAACCATCCCATGCCTCAGTTTCCTCACCTGCCAAAGGAGGGCAGAAACACACCCAGCCTCACAGGTTTGGGGCAGGACCTGACCGGCCACAGACTGGAGAGTGGCCCCAGACCGGTGCCTGTCCTCATGGGGGAGCCTTGGTGGGGAAGGGACCCCTGGGCAGGTCAGGGCTGGGGAAGGACCCTGCAGCTTTCCGCTTGCCGGCCCCCATCCTGCCCTGACCCAGAGAGCAGCCTTGGATGGAGGCCTCAGTGGCCAAGTAGAGCCCAATTAACCATCCAGACTTCAGCTGTGACATCCACTATCCCCCAAACCCCACCCACGCTAAGACCCTGAGAGGTGGCAGAGCTTGAGGGGGTGGGGAGTGGAACTGCACAAGCCAGGAAATTGGGTTTCCAGGAGTGACCCTGGGGGCTACCGCCAATTGGTGGGTGCAGCAGAAATGCAGCTTCCCGGGCCCTGCCCCAGAATTCCAACTCAGATAACCGGGAAAGGTGGCTGACTGCCCCAGGCCCCAGCAGGCCCCACCCTGCGGCAGCCGGACCCTCCTCAAGAGGGGCAGGGCCAAGGGTCCCCATGGGGGGCCTAGATGTAGGCAACCCTGCTTCCCATTGCTCGTGACCTTGTACTGGGGTCCAGGCACCACTGCACTGGGCGTTCAGGGAACCAGGCCACACGGGCTCTGCCCCAAAGGAGCCCACGTGGTGACCACAGGCCACACTTATCAAGGGAACCTCAAGGCCGTGTGCGGGGAGCTGAGGGGCCGCCCTGGGAAGGAGGCTGCGTGCCGCTGGCTAAGGGGACAGCAGGGACAGAGTTCCAGCAGGCCAGGGCTGGGACGAGTCAGCCCGATATACTGCCACTCCCAACACAGCAGGGTGCTGTCCCCAGGGCCAGGCTGAGTCACAGTACCGTGTCTGGGGGCAAAGCTGGCTCACCTGTGAAACAGGGCCAGGGAAAGCCCCGTGCAGCAGGCACGGAAGGGTGTGACCTGCCACCCGGGGGCCCCGTTCTTCCTACGCCCCACAGTGGGTAGGTAAGAACGTCAAGGCAGGGGCCCCCGACAGGCCTGCAGCGTCCCACAAGGGTGGGGCCCCGCACAAGGGAGAGAACAGCGAGCGCGAGGGATGATGGAAGGGACCCTGGCTGGCTGGCAGGTCACTCGCTCCCGACCGTGAGCCGAGTGTGCTGCAGACCCAGGCCTGGCTCTGAAGACCCAACCCTGGCCACCCCACCCACGGCCATTCTGCCAACTGGGGCAAAGGCAGCAAGGCGGGGGGCGCAGGGGAGGGTCTCAGAAGGAACTGGGCACCAGCCCCCTGACATTTGATGACCAGCTGGGGTGACAGGCTCTCCACCAGCCCTTCTGAGTTTCCACTTTTCCTGTTTGTGGAAGGGGGCCACCTCCCCACCACCTCCAACCCTGGAGCTTTGGAAGGTGGAGGTTCTCTCCTGACTCACCCCTGCTCCCTGCAGGGCAGGAAGAGCCAGGAGACTAGGGTTCATATCTGGGCCCTGCCGACCAGCTCTGGCGGCACCTCCGCTCCTGCAGCCTCTCCCTCCCCGTCTGTGACCCGAGGCTGCAGGATCCTCTCTGGGGGACACCTCAGGGCAGGTTGAGGTTGCCTCTCAGTGGGTCCAGGGCACCTTCTGGGCCCCTCAGCCTCCGGGAGGAGAGAGCAACGTAGGGGCTATAATCTCCTGCCTGTGCCCAGAAGGTGCATGGACCCATTTCAGGGCTGAGAAAACTGAGGCTCACAGAGCAGCAAGGGGGTGTCCAGGAAAGGGCGAGCCCGGGTCTGTGGCTCTCGTCAGCACAGGAGGTCGGGCAGGTGAACCCCCTGACCCTGCACTCCAGAGAAGGGGGTGGCCGTGGGCCTGGGGTCAGACAGAAAAGAATAAGTTCAGGGTAGGCCGTGCCCCCTGCCCTAGGGACAGCAGGGCAGTAAGAAGGGACAGGTTCCATGTCCAGGGACCCACAGGGTGGACAGCAGGGTGGGTAACCGGAGGAAGGGCACAGAGTCCTCCAGGCTGTGCTTGAGAACTGGTGGCAGAAGCTGGGAGCCACAGATGCTTCTAGAGTGGGGAGACACAAGGGCTGCTGCAATTGCCAACCTGTCCTGGCATTCGTACTCCCCTCTCTGGTGCCCTGCACCCCACTCACCCCTGCACCCCGGGGTGGCTACAGTGTGCCGGCCAGGTGCTGGGATAAGAACCAGCATCTGGCTTGAGAATCCTCACGACAAGGGAGCTGCTCTCCCCCCTGTCACAGAGAGGGGCTCTTGTGCTCAGAGTCACAGGACCACCCTAGTCTGCAGGGAGAGCTGTCAGGGCCCAGGGACCCCCAGAGCCTGCCTTGCTGTCTGCCATCCGCAGGAATCCAGGCTGATACCCTGGGTACCAGCGGGTACCAGAGGGACACGCGGTACCAGTGGTCAGTGTGGAGCCTGGCGACCCAGCCACCAGACTGCTCAGCATGTAGGCCAGGGATCGGTGCCCCCTGCTTGCGGCCCGCACCCCCGGGGGGCTGACACGCACATTCACATGGGACTTGTCCTCAGGCTCCACCACCAGGTGGATCAGTCTCATGACCTTGGGTGACAGCCCCCAGCCTCAGTCTCCACAGGCTCCTGGACACTCGGCTGGGAAGCAGCTGTCTTGTTACAGGTCCCAGTGAGGTTACTGGGGACAGGGGCGGCAGGAGGTGTGTCCTGAATAGGAAGGAGGCAACTGGGTGGCAGAGGGGAAAGGTTCGATTGTGGTCTCGTGGTGCCTGCGGGTAGCCGCAGGTCCCGGAGAATGGTTTACGGGTCCCCCTCCCCCCGGCTCCCATTCCTAACAGCGGGTCCCCGGGCCCAGCATCACGCCTGGTCCTCCTTGTGTCCACACACGGGGAAGACAAATGAATGACTGAACGTACCTGCACCCAAAGCCAGAGAGCTTGCTACCCCCTGGCCCCACCCACCCAGAACTAGTAGAGCGGTGTCCAGGGCATCCCTGCGGTCCTCTGCTTGTGGCAGTTAGGGCGACAGGTCACCTTGAGACTCAAGCCCTCCAACACCCTTCTCTAGCTCCTGTTACCGAGGGTCCAGAGGCAGGGACCCCTAGCCCCACGTCAAGCCCCGCCCAGGCCCCACCCCAAGTTCTAGAACCTGGCTGAGCAGCAGGGAGCCCGGAGGTGCGGGCAGGAAGGCAGGAAAGTTGAGGCTGGTGGGCAGGCAGCTAACAGGGTGGGTGGGTGTGTGCTGGGCCGGGCACTGCCCACCACCCTCCAGCCCGCCCGCCCCGCAGCTCCAGGGCCAATGAGCGGCCGCCGGCCTGATGTCACCCTGCAAATCTCAGCCTGGCTCTCTAACAAAGAGAACAATGGGGCAGCCACAGGGACACTCCGACAATGCCGCTCCGGGACCCGCACACCCTGGGTCTGCTGCTGGCCACCTGGCCAGGGGAGGGCTGTGGGGCAGGACCCCAAAAGTGGCTTTTACGGGGGGGGTCCTTGTGCATCCCCCAAATCCCTGACTGGGGGCGGAGAGCCCGGTAGGGATCCTCTCTCATCCTGTCCTGCTCCCCATCCCCAGCAGGGTGCCCAGGCTGGCAAGTCTCGATGCACCCTCTCTGTGCCGCCAAACTTCTCTCGACACTGCCGGAGCGCCCGCGCCCCCAGCCCCAGCGACCCCCCCAAACCCGAGCGAACCCGCCCCGTGCCAGTTTTGGGTGTGGAGCGGGCACTGCCCAGCCCGGCCCCCTTATCCCTGGGATGCCACCGCTGGCGGCCCAGGGCCCGGGCAGTGAGCTGCACGCAGGGGCCTTTCCCGGCTGCAGGCACCCAGACAAAGGCGGCAGCGGGGCCGGAGCGCCGAGGGGAGGAGCGCGGGCTGCGCCCAACTTTCTCCCGCGGCCAGCGGCAGGACAAAGGCACACAGGCGGCCACCGAGGCCCGAGCCCACGCGGGGCGTGGCCGGGGTCTGGTGTCCAGCCGCGGGCTGGGCTGGGTGGCCCCTCCCGGGACGAGCCGCGAGGGGACCCCCGGGGAGGCGCCCCCGACGGCGGCCACTCACCCTGGCGACCCACGATCTCGGCGACGTGCTCGGAGCTGGGCACGGGCACGCACTCGGTCATGTTCACGCTCTTCTTGCGGCTGCCGATCACGCTCATCTGCTCGGCCAGCAGCGTCGGGGGACCCAGGGCCGCGGGGTGGGGCGCGAAGCCCGCGAACACGTCGGGCGGAGATGGCCGAGGCGGCGGCGGGGGGCTCACGTCGGGCTCCAGCAGCGGCAGCGGGCCGGGGGCCACGGCCACCCCGGGCGCGCCCGCCTCGGGCCCGTCGGGGGGCGCGGGCTCCGCCGCGGCCCCGCAGTCTGCGCCTCGCGCCGCCGCCACCGCTCCGTCCCCGCCGCCCGCGGCCGCCCCCTCCTCGTCCTGGTCGCCCGCGCCCCCCAGACCGAGCCCTGAGAGCTGGTCCAGGGCCAAGCGCAGCGCGGCGGCCGCGTCGTCGGGCTCGGGCGGCGGCCGGGGCGCAGGCGCGGCC